GTCTTGCTTTGCTTTGTTTGGCGCTGTTGTATTGCATTGTTTTGTTTTGCCTTGAATTCTGTTGCCTTGCGTTGCTTGGTATTGAGTTGCGTTACCTTTGCGATGCTTTGCGTTGCTTTCCGCTGCCTTGCTTGGCATCGCTTGGCATTGCTCGGCATTGCTTGGCATTGCTTTGAATTGCTTGGTTTTATTCGGGTATGCATTGAACTGGGCGTGTTGCGTCGCATTGCGTTGCTTGGCATTCCCAGGCATTGATTTGCAATGCTTGACACAGCGTTGTATTGATTGGCGTTGCCCTCCGTTGCTGTAGAGTGCTTTGAATGGTATTGCGTTTCTTGGCTTTGGTTTTCTTTGCGCTGTTCGGCATTGTTTTGTTCGGCAGGATTTTTATTGATTTGCTTTGTTTTGCTTTGCTTGGTTTTGCTCTGCATTGACATGCATTGTTTTGCATTGTTGTGTTTCGCTTGGCATGTCCCTGTTCAAAGCAGTTCACAGCAATTCAAAGCAATGCCAACCAATGCAAAGCAATGTCAGGCGAAGCCAAGCATTTCCAGGGAAATGCCAGGCAACGCAGCGCCATGCACTGCGCTCAAGTCAACGGAATGCCAAACACATCCAAGCAACTCCAAGAAATTCCAAACAATGCCAGGCAACGCCAGGTGGTGCCAAGAAAAGCAACGGCCGCAATGTGAATCATCGCAACAGTATTGCACGTCAATACTATGCAACGCAAGTCAACATACTTCAATACCAAACAAACAATGCAACAGCGCCACGCAAAGCAAAGTGCGGCAATTCTAAGCAACGCAAGACAATACCCAAACCTGCTAGCCAATACTGATTAATCCCACTCAACGCAATGACAATCAATACCAGCAATGCAAGGCCACGCAATGTAATGCAAAGCGTTGAGACGCAATGCGTTGCAGTGGCAAGTAATGCAATGCACGCCAAGCAAAGCAATGCCAACCCCCGCAAAGCAATGTCAAGCAATGCACGCCAGTGTCAAGCAATGGCAAGCACAGCAATGGAATGGAAACTCAGGCGAAGCAACGCAATGACACGTAATGCAAGACTGTACAAAACACTGCCAAGCAAAGCAAGGTCGTGGAAATTGATGCGAAGTAAAGCCATGCAATGCAATGCACTCCCAAACAATGCAACATAAAGCAGTGACACGCAATGCAAACCATTGTAAACCATTGCAACACAATGCCAAGGCAGCGCACTGCCAGACAAAGACGAGCAATGCTAAGCAATGCCAGAGAATTTCAAGCAATGCCACGCAATGCCAAGGAATGCCAAGCAACGCAATGTCAAACCATTCGCGCAATTCAATGCCCTGTCAAACAAGACCAGACATTTCCACGCAATGCCAATCAATGTTAAGCAAGGCACGGTAAACCAAAGCGAATAATGGCAATGCAATGCAACGACACGCAAGGCAATGCAACACATGCCTAGCAAATCAACCCAGTGGACGTCAATACGGAGCAAATTAATGCTACGCACTGCAGGACAACACCAAACAACGAGAAACAACGCAATTCCAAGCAACGCAACCCAATGCCGAACAATGCTAGACAATGCCGAGCAACACCAAGTAACTTGACACCACGCAATTGAAGCAATGCCAGCAACGCAATGCAATGCCAATCACTGCCGCCATGCTTGCCATTGACAATACATGCCAGGCAATGCCGAGCAATGCCAAGCACTGTTACACAACGCAGTGCCAACCGCTGCACATCAATGGCGAGCATCGCAAGGCAAAGCAACGCATTGCCGAGCAAAGCAGTGTCGTTGAACTCAGTGCCACCCAAAGCACTGCCAAGCAATACTTGGCAATGCAGAGCAATGCCAAGCCAAGCCAAGCAACGCAGAGCAATGCCAAGCATCCTCCTCATTTCCCTCCTTCTCCTCATCCTCTCCATCCTCCTCACTCCTCCTCCTTCGCCTCCTCCTTCCCCTCCTCTCCTCCTCCTCCGCTTCCTGCTCTTCCTCCTCCTGCCCCCCTTCTCGTTAATTTAGCACATTACGCTCTGGATCCTCGCTCCGTCGCTCCCCCGCACTTCCGCTATCCTGCTCTCCCGCTCTCCCGCTCTCCCGCCCTTCAACCCTTCCGCTCGCCCACTCCCCCGAGTGGAAATCAAGGCTGCGAACAGCTGATGTGGATCACAGGGAGGGGGGCGACCATGTATATGTGTATGTCTATGTATCGGTGTATGTTTATATATGTATATATATATGTATACAGCTACATGTGCATGTCTATGTATATGTGCACGCATGTGTAACTGCATATATCAATGTATGCATTTATTTATGTATATGTACATGTAGGAGTGTATGTATATGTGTATGCATAGTTATGTGCATATGCATATGTATATGGTAATGCATCTATTTGTTCTCATGTGCTTTATTTATATATGCATTATATATATTTGTGTGTGTGCATATACATGTATCAGTGTGTGTATGCTTTCGGGCACCTCCGTCTTGAAATCTCTACGAAGCCTGCACTTTTTCGAAGGCTTTCGAGATGCGGGCGCGACGACGCGCGCGCGTGCACTTTTACAAGGTTTTTGCAACGGATCCACGAACATAGATGATTGCTGATGAACGAGTTTTCGCGCATGGCGTTATTTGACAGGGATGACGGGGGGGGGGTCGTTACTGGCCTAGCTGGGATGATATGAATTCATACGGAAAATGAGTTGCAGTGTCCCAGGGGGTGTCGACAAGTCCAGCCCCAGGGGACTACACCGTGCAATTTAAGCGGCGACGGGGCGGCGACGGTGACATCACAGCCGCCAGACCAGAAATCAGGCCCAGACGACGGGTGGCGACGAGGTGGCGACGGGGTGGCGACGGCGAGCACGAAGCTGCCAGACTGGCATTCAGGGCCAGTTCCTTAGATATCGATTTTGAGTGTTTATATGCATTTGTATATGTATGTGTGTATATATATATATATGGTGTGTGTGTGTGTGGGCGCGTTTCGCCGCTTCTGTCTTATCCCTGCATCTGTCCTGCCTGCCGCCTCGTTCTTTCACGCCACGCCGTCTCGGGTCGTCACTGCGCCCCATCCTTGTCTCCTGTATTGTGCTCCTCTTCACCTCCGTCTCCCCTCCCTTTCCGTCTCCCCGTCTCCCCCCCCGTGCTGCTCCCTTCGCGACTGCGCCCCCGCGAGCGATGCTGCTGATCCTCGTGGGCGGAGCCCGTATCTCCACGCCGCGCGCTCTGCGCCGGCCGCACGCGTCTCTTCGCTCGACTTTCTACGCCGCGCCGCTGCGCGCGTGGCCGCGACGCCCAAACGTGCTTGTGTGTGTGTATGTGTGTGTGTATGTGTGTGTGTGTGTGTGCGCTCGTTTCTGCGTTGTTTTTGTTGTTGTTGTTTTTGTTGTTGTTGTTGTTGCTGTTGTTGTCGTTGGTGTTGTTGTTGTTGCTGTTGCTGTACTTGTTGTTGTTGTTGTTGTTGTGTTGTTGTTGTTGTTGTTGTTGTTGTTGTTGTTGTTGAAGTAGTAGTTGTTGTTGTTGCTGCTGCTGCTGTTGCTGTTGCTGTTGCTGTTGCTGTTGTTGTTGTTGTTGTTGTTGTGGTTGTTGTTGTTGTTGTTGTTGTTGTTGTTGTTGTTGTTGTTGTTGTTGTTGTTGTTGTTGTTGTTGTTGTTGTTGTTGTTGTTGTTGTTGTTGTTGTTGTTGTTGTTGTTGTTGTTGTTGTTGTTGTTGTTGTTGTTGTTGTTGTTGTTGTTGTTGTTGGTTGTTGTTGTTGTTGTTGCTGTTGTGTGTGTGTGTGTGTGAGAGTGTTTGTGTGTGCGTGTCCACGATTGGCGCGCGCGCGGGTCCTGCACGCGATCTGAACGGCCAGGTGTGTCACCGTCCCGAAAGTGAGCTCGTCTCCGTCGCTCGTCGTCTCTCCGTCCTGCCGTCGCTGGCTGCTGCCCGCGCTTCCTCTCCCGCCTGTTCCTGCCGCTGTTGCCGCCGGGCTGTTCCTTTGTGCCCGAATCCCGCCTCGCTTCTTCCGCACCTTTCGCCGCCCCTGCTGCCGTACTCCTTGTCCTCTCGGTCCGCTTCGCATTGCTTGCCAGCCCTTGCCGCGCCGAATTGCCTCCTTTCGCTCTCTAGCTTCTCGTCTCCCGTTTCTGCCTGCCACCGGTTGCCGCCTCGCCCTTCTTCTATACCGCCTGTCCAAGCCTCTTGTGCCGCTGTTTCCCACCCGTGTGGCCCTTCCTGCAACCGTCGTAGGGAGGAGGGAGGAGGAGGGAGGAGGAGGAGGAGGAGGAGGAGGAGGAGGAGGAGGAGGAGGAGGAGGAGGAGGACGAGGAGGGAGGAGGAGGAGGAGGAGGAGGAGGAGGAGGAGGAGGAGGAGGAGGACTCCCTGGGCCATGTTGGGGCCCCCTTTGAGTCATTAGCGGGCGTCTTGGGGCTCTCCTCGACTGTTCTGTGGTTCGAGGGCCTTCTTAGGGTCCCGTCGTGGCCTGTTTGTGCTGTCTTGGGCTAGTCTCGGGAACCTTTTGGATCGTTTCGAGGCTCTGAAGACCGAACAGGCGACAATCCGAGACACACTGAACATCAGACGTTTTTGAAGGATTTTGGCATGGGGCTGGCCCCAAGGGCCCCCAAGACGGCCGACGAGACCCTCTGGGTTTCTTGGGTTTCGATGGTTTTGCTATAGAGAGCGTGACGTTCCCACACCAACAATCACTGGACGTCCTGCTGTGTCAGAGTTGGGTTTCTTGCGGAAGGTTTCTTGTGATCGAGCTCCTGTATCTCAGACAATCTTAAACGTCTGAGAGGCGGGCTCTGGGCACTTTTCCTCAGATTTTTCTGGATGCCTGGCTGGTCGGGTTGAAGACAAACGGGATCGTCCAATATCGAACAATCTGCAGGGTCGGAAAGCCGCAATCGCTCAGGGTTGAACGATCCACGCGGAGTCGGAGACCAACGCTGGTGTCGTCACGGCACGAACCTGCCGTTCTCTTACTCCCTGCGCGCAGGGCTGGGACGGAGAGCTGAGGCTCGGCAGCACCAAGGGCGAGGCTTCTTTCCTCAAGGTTCGCGTGGTGCCCGCTGAGCCATCGTACGAGGCGCACGGGGTGGGGATGTTTGCAGAGGTGACGGCGTGCCGAGGAAAAAGGAGGGGCGAAGAGAAATACGAGGAAACGACATGGTGATGATGCTGATGGTGACGATGCTGGTGATGATGCTGATGGTGATGATGATGGTGGTGATGAGGATGACGATGATGGTGGCGGTGGGGATGGTGGTGATGTTGATGACGACGACGACCACGACGATGATGCTGATGGTGATGATGATGATGAGGATGATGATGCTGATGGTGGTGTCGATGGTGATGATGATGACGATGATGACGATGGTGATGGTGGTGATTATGATGTTGGTGATGATGATGATGCTGCAGATGATGCTGATGCTGCTGCTGCGGCTGATGATGATGATGATTGTAATGATGATGGTGATGACGGTGATAATGTGAATGATGATTATGGCGATGATGACGACGATTATTATGATGATGCTGATGATGATGATGATGTTGATGACGATGATGATGCTGATGATGCTGACGATTATGATGATGCTGATGCTGATGATGATGCTGATGATGATGATGATGATGGTGGTGGTGATGATGATGAGGATGATGATGATGCTTATGATGATGATGATGATGATGATGATGATGATGATGATGATGATGATGATGATGATGATGATGATGATGATGATGATGATGATGATGATGATGATGATGATGATGCTGATGATGATGATGATGATGATGATGATGATGATGATGATGATGATGATGATGATGATGATGATGATGATGATGATGATGATGATGATGATGATGATGATGATGATGATGCTGATGATGATGATGATGATGATGCTGATGATGATGCTAATTATGATGATGATGATGATGATGATGATGATGATGATGATGATGATGATGATGATGATGATGATGATGATGATGATGATGATGATGATGATGATGGTGATGGTGATGGTGATGATGGTGATGGTGATGGCAATTATTTGACGGATGTCGCTGATAAGCATGAAGAGGACTTTGGATGCTGATGATGGGGGTGGGGATGCCGATTCTGAGGATGCTTGTGATGGTTGTGATGATGACGACAGAGACGACTGGTGACAGTGGTGGTGGTTGCGGTGGTGCTCATGAGGACGACGATTTGGAGGTGGACGAGGCTGTGCCGTGCAGTGCCGTGCCGTGCCGTTCGTGCCGTGCAGCGCGGTGCCGCACCGCGCCGCGTGGCGTGCCGTGCGCGCCGTGCCGTGTGCCGTGCCGTGCCGTGTGCCGTGTGCCGTGCCGTGTGCCGTGCCGTGCCGCACGCTCCACGCCGTGTGCTGCCATGCCTCGCTCGCCGTGCCATACGTCGCGTCGGGGCTGCACCTAAACGCTGTTTTTCTGGACTGCGGGTGTGTTTGGTTTTTCGAGTGCAAGCTCCTCGGCACCGCCTGCACCCCGGCCCGCCCTCCGGCCGCCTGAGGCCCCGCCCGCCTGTGCCCTGTCTCCAATTAGAGCTGTGCGTAGCCCGCCTAGCTTTTACCGGAAGAGGTTCGCTCTCGCCCCGCAGACCAAAAAAGTGTTTTGTTTTAGTTTTTGGCAGGGAGGTACAGGGAAACAGGTATAGCAAAACGAACAACAGCACGAACACAGCACGAAGAACAACGTTTAGGTCCAGCCCTGCGTCGCGTGCCACGGGTTGTGCTGACAGGGACATCTGGGGTGACCCCGCAGAGCTCTCTGCTGCGGCGCCCGTGGCCTGCGGCCCCTGCAGCTCTCGCGCTAATTGTTGAAAGGTTTGATTTGCTCTTCTGGTCGCCTGCAGACACCGTGTTTGCGGCCCCTGTTCGCACGGACCACGCGCACAGGTGCTTCTCCAGTCGAATTGGCACAGCGGCGAGCCCAGGGGGGAAGTGAGAAGGGGCGGGCCTTCTCAGAAGGCTCGGAAGTCCCCAGGCCTTCTCAGAAGTTCTCCGAATAGGCTTGCCCTATCGGAGTCCTAGCTCATCATAAGTAATTGGTCATTGGGACCCCCCCCTTTTTCCAATGGCCCCCCCCCTTTTTGGAATGCTTGCGCTTGCTTGCTTCCGCTTGCTTGATTTTGCTCCTCCCGTCCTCCTCCCGTCCTGCGCCCGTCCTCCTTTCGTCCTCCTCCCATCCTCCTCTCGTCCCCCTCCCGTCCTCTTATCTATTTGGAGTCGACGCTAGCTGATATTTTCTAAGCCTTCCCCGAAGACGCAAGAAACTTGGCAGAAGTTGCGGGGGGGCTTCTGAGTCCCGCCGCCTTCTGAGAAGGTCCTCTCCTTCTCATTTCCCCCCCTCGCTCGCCGCCGATTGGCTGAACACCCTCATCATCTTCGTCATCTTTCCTCCACCAGCCTCGGTGCAGGCGGGCCGTCCTCCTGCCGTGCCAGAGCATTCTAGCCGGGCACCCGGCCTTCTGCTGTCCAGGCGGTCCAACGCGTAGGCCCAGGGCAGCGTCATCCTGACCCACGTGCGGAGGGAGCAGCCCCGCGCACCATGATGGGCATGTCGGAGGCCAGCTGGTTGCCCTTGGCGCTTGAGGGGGACCTGGCAAAGCGGGCTCCAGCGAGCACAGCAGTGGAGGCGATGCTTCAGCGAACCATGCGATCTGCATCGAGCGCGCCTGGGGAGGCAGCGGCCGCTTCCACCAAGTCTATCCGATGGACGACGCGACGTCTTCTTGCAGTCTGACGTTGGGTACCGGGGAAATAAGGCCGCGGCTGCAGTGGCTTTCGTCGCGGCATTCGATCATGCCGTGCGTGTGATTCCAGCGACAGGGGTCTATCTGCTGAGAGTCGCATCATGCGCAATCCGAAGTCACTGTGCCAAAGCATGGACCAATCAGTAGAAGAGTACTGTGTGCAACGGGCCCGCTGCCGAGTCTAGGTTGAGGGTGATTGCCAGGCTAGGGCAGGTGTGCACACCCGCATCTAGATCTTGTGCGGCCAGCGGGTCCCCTCCTTGCGCTAACACGTATATATATATTCACATGTGTGTGTGTATATGAGGAGGAGGAGGAGGAGGAGGTGGAGGAGGAGGAGGAGGAGGAGGAGGAGGAGGAGGATGAGGAGGAGGAGGAGGAGGAGGTGGGAGGAGAGAGGAGGGAGGAGGGAGGATGGGAGGGAGAGAACGATCAGGCGAGGAGGAGGGGTAGAGGAGGGCGACGACGACGACGACGAGGGCGAGGACGAGGACCACGACCTGGGGGAGGCGTGCCGCGCCGCCGCAGGACGGCGCCTCTGGCCGCGCCGCCGCGCGCCCCGGCGGCTCCCCCGGCGGCTCCCCTCGCCTCGGCGGCGCCGCCGGCAGGCCCGCCGCGCGGGGTGCCTTCCTCGGGGGCAACGCTCGGTGGGCATGGCCTCAGAGCGTTTTCTGTAAGTCCTGGGCGATGGTGGGCGTGCCTCGCAGCAGAAAAAGCGCCCCGCGCGCGGATTTCTCTTGGATCCGCGCCGGGCCCCCCCGGCGGCGCCTCGGGCGCCGCCCCTGGCGTGTTTCGCGCGCCAAGGAGGGGGGTCCCGCGCAGATCCAAGAGATTCGCGCGGAGCGCCCATTTTTTTTTTTTTGTTCCTCCTCTTCTTCTCCTAAGGAGAGCGTGTTTTAATTCCCGGGCGATGGCGGGGGCCGACGCATTGGCGATGCATCGGCGATGCGGCGCGATCCTCCGACCCTATCTGTTCGGACCCCATTCAGGATGCCTTCTTTCACGGGTCCTGGGACTGTCAGCACACGGTCCAGGACGAAAAGGACAGCGTTTTTTTGATTCCCAGACAATAGCGGACATTACCGAGGAAACAAAACAAGCGGGGGGCGGGGGGGCGGTAACGTCACGTTTCGTGCCGGCGCCGGTCTTGAATATCTAGGACAGAAGTCAGCACGAATCGTTACGTTATTTGGGGAGGGGAGGAGTGGGGTGGCCAGAAGTGGTAACGGTTGCTCTTGCGAAAAACAACAACTTTTTCCAGGTAGGGATGATTTTTTTGAAGATCAGGGTCCGAGCAGGTTTTCTGACACTGTCGGCGCTTCTCGTCGGCTTTCCAGCCTTGGGGGTGTGTTCCAGCAGCTGCGTCTCGCCGAGAGGCGTCCGAGGGTGCCCGAACGGCCGCCAGTATGGCCCTGAAGCCAGGGGGGGAGGCTCAGGGGGGACGCGTTGATCCTCGATCGCCCATTCATCGCCGATGGGGACCCGATATAGCCCGCCCTGTGCAGGAGCGTCCGGCTTCGTTTCTCGGGGGCCCATCGCCGATCTGTCGGCGGTGCATCGCTAGTTCAGGCCCGATGCTTCCCCTCGTGAGCGCTGGCCCCCCCCCCCCAGGCGTTGCCGCAGCCCGGCATGCGAGGGATGCGGCGGCTGGGAACTTCTGCTCAGCGTGCTGCCCCGCCGGCCTCGGCCCGCCACGCCCCGGCGCAGCACGCGAACCGCTTCCCGGCCCCCAAGCTGGTGGGCCTGTTTTCCACCACCACCACCACAAGTTGGAGGGGGAGGGGGTCCTCCTCCTCCTCCTCCTCCTCCTCCTCCTCCTCCTCCTCCTCCTCCTCCTCCTCCTCCTCCTCTTCCTCCTGCCCCCCCTCCAACTTATGATGGTGGTGGCGGTCGAGATCAGGCCCAGCACGAGCGTCAACGCTCCGAGCCCCCCCCCCTGCCTCCCGGCGCGTGGCGCGGAGCGACGCGCTGGCCGCTTGCCGGGCACGGCGCGTCGCCGGGGCCGCCGCCACGGCACGCTGAGCAGGAGTTCCTGACCTCGGCCACGCGCGGGGGGGGGGAAGTATACATAGGGGGAGGGGGGAAGGCTTCCCAGAAGCACCCCCGCTGCTAAGAAGCCTTGTTTCGGTCAGGCCCAGCTCCGGGTCTTGGGCAAGCCGTGCACATTGCTTGTCTCCGAGGCCAGACGAGAACGCCCCAGCCGGATGCAGAGGGACTTGTTCCCTGAAGCTGGTGACGGAGCTCAGTTTGTTTGTTTTTTCCCAACCATCCTGTGGTGTTGGGTCCTCGTTTTTCCCCACATCCAAAGTGGGGTTCTTGTTTTCTCTGCACACCCCCGCGCAGGAGAGAGATCTCACTCACCCCCTCTTCTCCTCGCACTCATTCACACACACATCATCATCACTCGCACTCTCTCACACGCTCACGAACATCATCGTCATCATCGGTATCGGCATCATCCTCATTCAAACATCATCATCGCCACCACCACCCACAATCAATCATCATCCTCTTCACCACTCATCTTCACCACCACTCATCATCCTCATCCTCATCATCGTTGAGTAAAGTGTGAGGAAGTCTCAGGCGGGAGCCCCCTCCCTATGGGGCCCGCAGATCATGTTGGTAATCCGAGCGGGTCATCGGAACCCTGTAACTGTCGTCACTTTTGGGCTCCCCAGGCCTGAAAATGGAGGAAGTCTCAGGCGGGAGCCTCGTCTGTGAGTGAATTGGGAGGAAGTCTCAGGCGGGAGCTCCCTCCCTATGGGGCCCGCAGATTATGTTGGTAATCCGAGCGGGTCATCGGAACCCTGTAACTGTCGTCACTTTTGGGCTCCTCAAGCCTGAATATGGAGGAAGTCTCAGGCGGGAGCCTCGTCTGTGAGTGAATTCTGAGGAAGGCTCAAGCGGGAGCCCCCTCCCTATGGGGCCCGCAGATCATGTTGGTAATCCGAGCGGGTCATCGGAACCCTGTAACTGTCGTCACTTTTGGGCTCGTCAAGCCTGAATTTGGAGGAAGTCTCTGGCGGGAGCCTCGTCTTTGAGTGAATTGTGAAGAAGTCTCAGGCGGGAGCCCCCTCCCTATGGGGCCCGCAGATCATGTTGGTAATCCGAGCGGGTCATCGGAACCCTGTAACTGTCGTCACTTTTGGGCTCCTCAAGCCTGAATATGGAGGAAGTCTCAGGCGGGAGCCTCGTCTGTGAGTGAACTGCGAGGAAGTCTCAGGCGGGAGCCCCCTCCCTATGGGGCCCGCAGATCATGTTGGTAATCCGAGCGGGTCATCGGAACCCTGTAACTGTCGTCACTTTTGGGCTCGTCAAGCCTGAATTTGGAGGAAGTCTCTGGCGGGAGCCTCGTCTTTGAGTGAATTGTGAAGAAGTCTCAGGCGGGAGCCCCCTCCCTATGGGGCCCGCAGATCATGTTGGTAATCCGAGCGGGTCATCGGAACCCTGTAACTGTCGTCACTTTTGGGCTCCTCAAGCCTGAATATGGAGGAAGTCTCAGGCGGGAGCCTCGTCTGTGAGTGAACTGCGAGGAAGTCTCAGGCGGGAGCCCCCTCCCTATGGGGCCCGCAGATCATGTTGGTAATCCGAGCAGGTCATCCAAAACCTGTAACTGTCGTCAATGTTGGGTTCTCGCGCTGCCAGAACGCAGTTCCCAGGCCACACTTTGGATGCAACAAGGAAGTTTTTGGGCTCCTCAGGTCGCCGAGGTGCTGCGACAGGGCGCCGAAGGCGCCGACGACGACGGCCAGGCCGAGGCGCGGGCGCGGAGCTTGCTGATGTTCAGGCCCAGCGAAAGGGAGTTCACATGGCAGAGCTCGGGGGCGCACAGCGTGCGCCGCTCGGGGTTCACCCTGACGCACGCGTCCTACCTGACCTCCACGCTGTCGCAGGGCCAGACGCTGCGCAAGGGCGTCACCATCGACTGCGCGAGAGACGAGGACGCTGGCCGCACGGGCATGTCGGACGAGCAGTGGTGGCTGCACCTCTACGTCATGTTCTCCCGCGCCACGTGCATGCGGAACATGCTGATCCTGCGGCCGCCGCCGCGAGAGTTC